GGTTCATGTAGTAGAGAATATGCCGCGGGAATACGGGGGTATAATTGGATGTGACCTATTGAGTAAGGTGAGACCAAGAATAGATTACAGGGGAACGGGTTGGAGGGTGCGAATGGGAGGGAAGAGGTACCGGTGTAAGAAAGGGAGAGTGGGAGGAAAAGGGAACATTGGGGCAATAGAACAAGCGGAACATTGGGCCCAAAGGATAAAGAGGGAATACGCGGATATTTTTTTTAAAGAGGGGGAGGTGTTGAGCGCAACGGGGAGGACAGCACATGAGATTCCGTTAAAACAGGAAAAGGTGACGTACGTGAAGGAGCGGCGTTACCCGCAGGCTTTACGTCGCCATATCAAGGAGGAGCTCGAGAGCCTGAAGAAGCAGGGCATCATCGTGGACAGCACGTCACCGTACAATAGTCCTCTGTGGGCGGTGAAGAAAAAGACGTCGTCGGGAGAGCAGAAGTACAGGGTGGTGGTAGACTTCAGGAAGCTCAATGACAACACCCTAGACGAGAAGTATCCGCTTCCGCGATTTGATGATATTATTGACAGGCTTAGTGGGGCAACCATTTTTAGTACTTTGGATTTAAAGGCAGGCTACCACCAAATTCGGATGAACCCCAGGGATCAACACAAAACGGCGTTTTCTTTCGAGAGGGGGCATTACGAGTTTACTCGGATGCCATTTGGTTTAAAGAACGCTCCCATAACCTTCCAGAGATTTATGGACGAATTCTTGAGGGGATTAGACGAAGAATTCTGTCAAGTGTACATGGACGATCTCTTGGTCTTTAGCAAGGATGAAGAGCAGCATGTTGATCATTTAGGGCGCGTATTCGATAGGTTACGGCAATTTGGGTTGAAATTATCAGCGGAAAAGTCGATTTTGGGACAGGACCAGATAACCTTTTTGGGACATTCCATTTCGAAGGAGGGGATCAGGCCCGATAAACAGAAGGTTGAGGCAATACGAAATATGGCGATGCCCAGGGATGTAAAAGGTATCCGCAGATTATTAGGAACCCTAAACTATTACCGTCGGTTCGTGCCGGAAATGGCGGAGTATTTAGCACCTCTTAATAACCTTTTGAAGAAAGGCCGGAAGATTGCAATAACGCCAGCAATAGAGGATAACGTAAGAAAGTGCATGGCAAGGTTACAAGAGAAGCCGGTACTCGCTTTTCCCGATTTTACGAAGACATTTGTCATTACCACGGATGCGAGTGAGTATGCGTTGGGGGCGGTACTTGCTCAAGAAGGAAGTAATGGGGAACAACCGGTAGCATATGCAAGTCGGCGGCTTACAGACGCGGAAACGCGGTATAGCGCCCTGGAGAGGGAACTCCTGGGCATAGTATGGGCAGTAGGGCATTTTAGGCCATATATTTTTGGCAGAAAGTTTAAAGTCCATACCGATCACAGACCGCTGCAATGGGTCGGTAATCTGAAGGAATCGTCAGCAAGGGTCACCCGGTGGAAGCAATTTCTAAGCCAGTACAATATGGAGGTCATGTACAAACCGGGTAAGGAAAATGTGGTAGCGGACTGGTTGTCCAGAGCCATCATGATAAATGCCATCGAGGAGGAAGAAGGGGAGTCGTCAAGGGATGTGCGGCAGTTTTTAAGAACGTGGACACCGGAAGGTGAAGGGGAACCTGGGGACGTGGGGGCAGAGGAGTCGAGAGGAGAAGAGAGCTCGGTAGACGAGAGGCCTACAGACATGGAGGAATGTGAGGAGATCGTCAACGATAAGAGACGACAGGTCATTTGGAAGACCAGAACGTCGGGGCTCATGAAGATCGACTTCAGTAAATACGGCAAGAAGAAGATTAACACCATTTGGTCCCAACCAGGGGTGAAAGAAGAAGAGATCTGTAAGGCTTTGCACGACGCTTCAGAGTCGGGGAAAACTCACCATTTGTATGTGGGCAATGCGACCGTCTGGGAGAAGATCAAAAAACTCTGGAGAGCAGAGAAGATAGGCGTTGACAGGTCGTTCATTAAATGCAAATACCTAGTTGAAACATTAATGGACAAGGAGCAGCAAAAGGAAGTAACGCTGGCACATCACCAGGGCAAGACCAACCATAGGGGGGAACAGGAAACGTTTCAAGCGTTGCGCAGAAGATATTTTTGGGATGGCATGAGGAAGACAATTGCTGAAATCATTGGGAGATGCGCAGTGTGCGCGCGTACTAAATACGATAGACGGCCACCTCAAGGATTGCAGGAGGAAACCCCTACGGGAGACATGCCATTGAAAGATGTGCAAATTGATACATTTACGTGGAGGGGGTTTAAGTGGGTTACAATGATCGACCTCTTTAGCAAGGTAGCAATGACACACCAAGTACGAGATAAGTTGTCGGAGGCGGTTGTGGGGGCTCTACAAACGTGGGCCCAGTTCTACGGAGTGCCTGATCGCATAACGTCGGACGGAGGGAGGGAGTTCGACAATAGTACCGTGCGTGAGGAGGTTAAACGATTGGATATAGCTTGGCATTTTAATACTCCAGGACATACAAAGGGCAGAGGAAATATAGAGAGGTTGCACAGCACGTTAAGCGACCACCTACGTATTTATCAAGGGGAGCAAGGATTGGAAGGAGATGTAGCCATGAAAAGAGCAGTAGCGGCCTATAATCATTCAATCCATTCCGTTACAGGGTTTTCTCCGGTCGAGGTATTGTTTGGAGTAAATATACGGCGACGGGATTGGATGGAAACACTCACGGACGAGGCACAAGCTCAACGGATCACGTGTAACAGGGCAGAGATAAGGAGAGTATGGGAAAAAACGAGAGGAAAAATAGAGCGGGAAAAACGGAAGAGGGTGGAGAGGGCCAATCTGAACCTCAAGGACAGAATGGGGGACTTGAAGATAGGGATGACAGTCTATCGTAGGGTAGGTTCTAATAGGGGGAAAGAACTGGCACGCTACGATGGACCATTCAAAGTGATCGTACTTCGCGAACACAATCTTTGTACCATTCAGAGTTTGAACGATCCTAGGAAACGACGGACCGTTCACATAGAACAATTGAAACTTCCGATAGAGTCGAGTCAGTTGTAAATAAGTGGTATATCCTCTTTTTTGTCTCCTACAAGCTATGGAAGGTTTATTTCATTTGTAGTTTTATTAGTATTGCAGGAAAATGTCTAATTTTATTTGTTCCGTGCTATGGCTGTATGGGAGCACCAAGGAAGATTATTATTATTTTTTTTTGTGTTTTGTTATGTATTATATCACTAACCCTGCGTTAGTTTATGAGGAGTGTTCATAAACTGGCGGAGGGGAGTTATGGTTAGATGTAAGTAATATATTAGTTAATCCTATTCAATAATTGTAAACAAACCGTAATGCTATATATATAGCATTACGGAGAGAATAAAGTCAGTTTAGTTTGAGCAACCACGTGTCTTATTTCAAGCCTTCTTTCTTTTTTTTGTCTTTCTCAGTTCGAACCGACGTAAGTTATATATATATATATATATATATATATATATATATATATATATTATATATATATATATATATATATATATGGGCTATATATATATATATATATTGTTGAGTTCTAATTGAAAACTTTAAAATATTTATACAGACAGTCCGAGAGAAGGTGATTATAGTGTTGAAGTATTATAATAATAATGGATTATTTATTCTATGACAAGTCCCTTTAGAATAATACTGAAAGACATAACCGTGGGCTAAGGAACCTCAGAGATACATAAACAAAAATACAGAGTAATTAAACAGTTATAATACAAAAAAAATTATAAGTTACTTTCTAACTTTAATCAGTTAATAATAAAAAATCGAAAAAAGCATGAAGTAAAAATAATGAAAAACGATCTAATAATTTATATACATATTTACAGTAGTATCTATTTACAATTTTATGGGGACTGAATAGATAAGAAATGATTGAACAGATGGGATTTAAAGATAGAAAGGGTATTGGATTGACGGATGTGGGAAAGGATAGAGTTCCAGAGTGATGATGATCGGATAGTGAACGATCTGTCGAAAGCAGCCCTCATGAATAAATCAGAAGATCGGGAACGAATATTGCGGGAACGAAGAGATTTCCAGCGTATCCGTTTCGTTAATCCTAAAAATGTATACGACAACATTTGTTAGGCTTGGGAAGTTGAATCGAATGATACATTGAACGGGAAGATTGGACAAAGTTGAAAATGAGTTTTATCCCTGTTTTGAGCGACAAAGCATTACTGATTTTTGGGATTTCGGATTTTTCCCATTGAGTTGTGTTAATTGTTTCCATCAGTTGACTAGTACAACTTTTAAAGGTGGTTCGCGGTAGAGTAGGTTGGGATCAGAATCGAAGTATCACAAAAAAAAAAAAAAAAAAAAAGAAGGCACATGAATATCAATGAATATTGCATCATATAAAAAAAATCATTTAATTGAAACTACCGAATACAGAAATTACCCAATCTATCCAAAGGGAATACTTAAACACTTTGGAAATTTTTTAGATTCAATATCACATTCAGATTCAAGAAATTCTTTTAAGAATAAGTAAACTTAATTTCTTAGCAATTGATGTATTCATGATATCTATAAAGTAAATGTACATGAAAATAACGATATAAATTTAATTTAATTTATTTCAACTTTGGATTCGGATTAGTCATTCTGGACAATTAGAAGTAAAGCAGGTAACAAATCTACATGAGGAGAAACTAATTCGAAGCTCCTTGGAAACAGCATTCAACCTGCATATCTGTAGCCTTTTATGTTTACGTTATATACCGGTTGCTAAGAAACCTAAGCTAAATTATTTTTTTCAATTTTGACAACAGTTTGTTGTTGATTATATAATATTGACTGACTCTATTATGCAGTGTCTGTTGTCTCACTCAAATCTTATTTTAAATTAAAGAAGGCTAGTTTTAATAGCCACACTATGTAATTTATTTTATTGAATAAAATATTGCTATGGTTTAACTTGATTTAAGAACTTCCCATAATGAGAACTGTGCCAGCTTGGGTTGACAAAGTACATGATAAAAATGAACAATGGTATCTATTTTATATAATTTTATTGTTTCTTTTTCATGTCAGGAATGGCTTAGTTCTTGAAAAATAAGAAAATTAGATCTTTGAAACCAGAGTGTTTATTATTTATTTTCCATTGTAGTTTAAATCTTGACATAAAAGAGTCAAATTTCCCAAATGATTTGGAGATAGCTTCATCATCTTGATTTTTTTTCTAATTAAACTACTTCTCTTTTTAGATAATCCATATTAATCCTTATCAGTCTTTGACCTGATTCTCACTATGTTGTAGTTGGTTTCAGTAAATATGAAAAAAGATTTAGCGTTGAAAGAATTACATTTTTTTGGTGTCACGTGAAAGGTGACTTATGATTGATAAGGGTTAAATATATTATTAAGCGCATTGGACCTTATCTAGATGGACTGGCATTTTTTCTAACTTTATAAATGTTAACTATATTGCTTTAAGAAAGCATAGTAGTGTAGTGGTATATGATCAGTACAATCTAAATGAATTTCTTTAATAAGTGGAAGTAGGCTGAAATTAAGTGTAAACAATGTTTATTCTATTTGGTGAGAAGAATCATTGAATAAGTTGCTGCCATATTAGAGTAATATTATGGATTGTATAAGAAATTAGCCTCACTTGTAGTTGTGTTTCTCAAAACAGAAAGCTACTTTAATAGAATAACTATTTACATATTATTGTATGACAGAGCATTTGCATTAATCTTTTGTATGCTTAACCACTTTAGGAATATGAACCTTTACCTCTGAAACATATATGGATGGATGTTGTTGGATAAGCCATAATTTATAGATTTCTTTTTAAGCTATAAATTAATATTACATTAGTACAATGTGATAATATGTTACTATTTTTTTGTTTCAGTATATATTCTGTTTGTTTCAACCCAGATGGATCGCAGTTAGTTGTAGCTGCAGGGCAAAGGATATTAGTGTATGACACAAATGATGGTTCTTTAATACAGCCACTGAAAGGTTTGTGGGAAAGTTCCATTGATATTTTATTTAATTTCATAACATTTATTACTTTTTAAGAGATCATTATTTTTGAATGCTCCTTTTGTGCTTGTTTTGATACCAGTTCTGAAAAACTACAAAATGGCAATAGAGTTCAAGGTCAAATTAAGAACGCTGTAGATGGAATCTCAAAACAAACTTGTTTCCGAAAGAAGACGTAGAAAACCGATTTCCGAACTTTCATAAGATTAAGGTTTAGGTTTAGTTAGTTCAAGTCTCCATCATGTTCACTTCTTTTAATAAAAAGTTATAATTCAGCTAAACTCAATATAACTGCTAAACTGCAATATAAGAGCTAAACTGATAATATTGGTTGTCTAAATCTAATGGTTTGATTTGAATCAAAAACTTTACAATCTGCTTTACTGAATAACTTGAGGAATGTAAGGAAGGAAACAGATTTTCACAAACTATGAACTACTAAAAATTGAATGTTATCTCTCATGTCATTCCCAATGCAACTCAATATCATTTTGAGCACTCAACGCCTTCTCTGTAAGTTTAGTCATGAAGTCAGAGGTCTCGTTTCCACAACAGAGGTTATGGTAGTGAGAAGCATCTGTAACAGATTTGTCTCGAACCTTATTAATGTTTCATGCTCTCTCTTTAACTTCAAAAGTCATACAATTATCATCTATCATCAGTTATAATCGCTCAATGGTATTCACATATTCTACTAATAAAACTGATTTTCTTTCACTCATAATAGTCCTACTTCAAATTTGTTAACTACCTTTGTGCATATATGTGTTTACATTTGTCTACATGTATGTGATAATAATGTTAATGATAATATTTGGTGAGCATGAAAAATTACTACATTTCTATGTATCAAATTTTGTTCATGTAACCTTGTTAAATATACAGACAAAATAACATTTTCAAAATATCAATTTTGATTATAAAATTTTAGGTCATGAAAAAACTGTTTATTGTGTGGACTATGGTAAAGATGGAAAGAGATTCGCATCTGGTAGTGCTGACAAAAATGTTATTATTTGGACATCAAAACTTGAAGGTGTTTTGAGATATAGGTAAGATTTTTGAAGCCAGTATTTTCAGATGTTCTTCTGCCCCTTGGATTGAATCAGAAATTAGAGAGTTAATGTAAGGAAGAGAGGCTACCTGAAGATGCTATAGATTGTCTCAGCATTATTCTGCCTCTTATCCCTTTCATAGCACCAAATCCTAAATCTAAATGGATAATCCTTAAGAACATCTCCGCCATTAGCTCCAAAACTTGCCCATAATATTCTGTTGATCCAAATGAGCTAAATTCTTTTTTTAAAAACCTTCTCCCTTCTGCATTTTGATTCAACCTCTCACCTTTCTCCATCTTTGAAACTGATTCTGATAAGTGAAAAAATGACAGCCTTTTTTCTTTATAAGTTTTATTTTTTTGATATTTCTCCTATAAATCTAATCTTTTCTATCCTTAAATCCAAAACCAACAACTATGGTCTTGAACGAATTTCTGTTAAAATTATCAAACTCTGATTTCCAGTCTTACTTCCTGCACTTCTACACGATTTTTCTCTCAAAAATCCCATTTTTCCAAAAACTTGAAAAACAGTCTTCGTGCTCACATTGAACAAAGTTCCTACTTCTTTATCAGATTCCGACTTCACTTCCACCTTTATTTTATCCTAGCTCATGGAATGGTCAGTTCACTATCAATTGGACTTCAATTTTTTTAAGATACTTTCTCTTCACTCCTTTACAATTCCATTTTTGTTCCCAATATTCCAATCAGTCTTCCTTACTAAGGATTACCCAAGACCTCTGATTCTCCAAGGATAAACAGAAAATCTCTATCTTAATCCTTTTTGACTTTTAAAAAGCTTTTGATTCTATTAATCAAATGATCCTGTCTTCCAAAGACCAAAACCTGCCCATTTCAAACTGCATTCTAAAATGATTCCTCCCCTCATCCCATCGATCCTAAACAGTTATCATTCCTAGTAAACTTCCTTCACCTCTTCAATTAACATGAAGTTTTCCTAAAGGATCCCCACTTTCTCAGACCCTTTTCTCTATCTATATACCAATGTTGATTGGTTTTTGATTCTTTACCTGCATTTTAGTTTAGAGAGATTGGTTGGACTTTTTTTTTCAATTGTGACTTACATTTGTGATTTTCATTAGTGCACTCATGACTCCTATTACTACTTATATGCCAATTATTTCCAAATCTATCAACTGTTTCAATTTTCTGAGATACTTGAGGTTACCCTAAAGTTACAAAAAGGTATCAACTGTATCAACAGATGGGCAGAAATAAATAAATTGAAGCTGAATACAGAAAAGAATTAAGATTATCCTCATTGGTTCTAGACACCTCATTATTTCCCTTCCTTGCTATCATGTACTTTACTCAATAACTGAACCATTCATTTTCTCCGAATAGTAAAAACTCTAGGAATAACTTTCAGGATCTCTCCTGGAATAATCCTATTTTCCACATCACACGATAATCCTTAACTGTCCTTATACAGCTTAAAATTAAGGTTCTGAGATTCAATTCCTCAAAAGACTAAATAGCTCCTTGTAACTTTCCTTGTTTTTCCCCACATTGACTGCAGTTTCTTAGTAATGCAGGACTGTCTTCAAGGCTGAAGATAAGACTGAAGAGACTAAAGAATTGTTTTATAAGATTTATTTTTGGGGTCTCCTAATTCTCTCATGTTTCCTGCTGGAATACTGAGGTGAAGTGGCTCTATCTTACTTTCTGATGGTATTTCCTTCATGGTGTTTTTTTTTTTTTTCAAGCCCTCAAACCTCACTACATCCTAGAATAACTTGCTCTACATTCCTCTATTGACTTTTTAAATACTAGATGTCAACCTATTGATCTATCTATCCTCTCCCAAAACTACTTACCTCTGCCAATCTTTCATGATTCATGCTGCTTCCTTTAGGAACTGTTTGCCTATCTCCATACACCCTCATCCACAAATTCCTTTAAACAACTCCTTTTCTGCCACTTACTTCATATTCAAACTGCTGCAACTATGTAACAGTTATTTTTTTCTATAATTACAATTGCTACTAATATTTAATTAACAAGCACTATTTTATAGTTCTTGCCAGACTAATGTGCCTAATTTCTGAACACTGTCATTATTTTTAGGGGACTTTAGTTCCAGAATATTTTTTTTTTTTTCAGTTTGTTTCATTTCAAAAGTCAAATTATTTATTTTTTTAATAATAAAAGATGCCAAGAACTTACATTATTATATGTTACTGGTGCTAATATATTATTTTTTAGCCATAATGATGCTGTCCAGTGCCTCGAGTTTAATCCTGCATCTCAATTATTGGCCTCATGCAGCAGTAATGAGCTTATCCTTTGGTCACCTGTAGTAAAGTCAGTTGTGCGACATAAGATCCCAGGAAGAGTTCTTTCTTGTTCTTGGTCAGAGGATGGACAGTTACTTGCTATTGGTTTGAGTACTGGAATAGTATCAATTAGGTATTAAATAATAATGCTTAATGTTTTTTGTTTTTAGTTCATTTTGATTATTTATCATTTTTTGAAGGAGTCGAAATGGAGAGGAAAAAATTAAAATTGAGCGTCCTGCAAAAGCAGCTATTTGGGCCTTAGCTTGGTCAAAGAACAAGTAATTTTAAACCTATTTTTCATTAGTTTATTAAAATGTTATTTCAGATATTACCATTTTGAACATTTTAATTCGATTTTAGGGAAACTAATACTGATATTTTATGTGTTACTGATTGGGGTCAAACAATGTCATTTTATTCAAGTACTGGTCAAGAAATTGTAAGTCTTATTTTGGATTGACTGTAATGAGTATTTCACTTAAATTAGTTTCAAAAATATTTTCTGATTGAAGAGTGAAAAGGATAGGAACCTTGGATACGAGCCATTACGTGCTTCATATGTTGGAAAAGGAGAGTTTATATTAGTTAGTGGAAGCAACAACTGTTGTACATTATATAACAAAGATGGTGTGAAAGTGTCTGAAATTGGTGATCAGCAGAAATCATGGGTTTGGTCATGTGCACATCATCCTACTTCTAATTTTGTTGTAAGTAACCAAATCATCACTGACAATTTAAAAATTGTTTTAATTCCATTATTTTTTTTTAACTTTGTTAAAATTAGAAACAATGACATTTATGCATGAAGTTTAATAAATTATGTTTTCACTTTCAACTAACTTGAATCATTGTTGAAAAAGGAGGAATGGAAAGGGGAAGTAGTTTTTTTTTCATTTGGAAACTATTTATAAGCATACATTTACATATTTTTAAATTTTATGTTGCTGCTACATCATACCTGAAAAGTTTGTAAACTGTCTTGGTCGTGCTCATATATAATACCTCAGTGGCTGTGGGTTAGTGTTTATGAGCTCCAAAAGTTTTTTAGTCAGGCCATTGGGAAACATATCTTCTGAGTTTCATGTTAATTATAACAATCATATTGAGTAGTGTTGAAATAGATGGTGGAATTTCCACCCTCCCATAATACATTCAAAACAGGAGTAACAAGGAAGTGATTTACCCATACATTATTTCTATTTATCAAAGGAGAAAAATAAATAGTTTCTTGTTGCTCTTTCGCAATGATTTACTTTTAATTAATAAATAGAGTAAATTCACGGCAGTTATATATTTATTAATGCTTACATTGATATGAATTTTAATTATAAAAGTATTTATTTTTTCTTAATTATTTTTATTTTTATTAGAAATAATTTTTAACTGTAATAAATATTTAATTAACTAATCTTTGTTAGGGGTGGTTAGAGGTGGTTAATCTTTGTTATGATAATTTTACACATCACTACACTTGGTTTTTGTTTTGGGAAGTTTCATGTTACAATGATGTTTATTGTTTATGGCAATTTAAATTTTTTTAAAATATAGTTTAGTTTTCTAATAAATCCTATTTGACAGTTCTTTACTTCTGTGCTCCTGTTGTCAACATATGAAAAGATGATCATTAATTTTATTTGATTTCCATTATTGTGAGCTATTAATTCTATTGACCAAGAATTGGCTACATAAATAGGATGGATTAGTAAAATAAACTATATTTCAAAAGAAGTTGAATTTTCAACTATACCACATGCTAATTTTATTTTACTAATTAAACTAAATAGATCTATTGAACTATCTTCTGATTTTTTTCTCAGAAAGAAAACTATTACCTGATTTACTGAATTATTCTTCACATTTTAACTGTATTCGAAAACAGAAAAAATTGTATTTTTAAATATATATTTTTGTTTTTAGTTCTGATATTATTTCAGGTCTTAGGTTGTCAAGATGGAACTATTGCATACTATCAAGTAGTATTTAGTAAAGTGCATGGTTTATACAAAGAGAGATATGCCTACAGGTATTTTTTAAAACTTATTTTATGTTATTATACATAGTAAGCATATAAATTTGTTTCACTATTTCTGAATATCCTAATGACAGTGTTGGCTGGTTGATAAAAATATACTAAAAAAGAATCATGAAGTGAAGAACATTTGGTATGAATTACTTTTTGGTAATTAATAAAAAATGTCTCTTGCAGCCTTACAGCACAACTCTTTCCATTCTGATTTCTGTTTATAATCTTTCTTGACTTTCATAGCTTTTCTATAAATGCATTAAAGGTACTTGATCAGTCATTCTAACAAACTTCTTTAATTTGAATGTTTTTTTGTACCATACACTGATGAATGGTTTTGTGCATTGGGTAGTCAATCGTGAAATGTTGCTGGAGGCACTACTACAGCTGCAATGCTAGTTTTTTAAAACCAGTATTAGACCTAGAACAAAATCTTTGAATCTACCCTTTAGAAATTTTTTCTTCCGAAGATCATCTGGTTGTACAGGAAATAGATTTTAAAAAATCACCTTTTTAAGCAAGGAAAATTGGACCAGAAAGAGTAATATTGTGGATCCTTTGAATATGAAACCTTTTCAGCAATACCTCATCAATTTTTGTGTGGGTAGAATGTCAGTGATTCCAAAATTTTAATGAATCCTCTTTTTCTACAAGATCAAGAATAAAGGTCTTATTTTTAAAGATTTAAAATATGATTGAGTAACTTAAGTTATGTTAGTCTTAAGCTAATGTGATGTTTATCCCACAATGTGGTAGCTACAAAGAAATTTCTCTTCTGAAGTTCTTTTAGACTTAGTATCAGAAGAAGATTGTCCTGATCTTATCTATCCAAGCCAATTTGGAAAAAAATAGTTATGCAAATTTTGATTTTTTTTTATATATGATTTTAAGTTTTATATGTGTACTTTTATAAAAAAGATATATATTATATCTCTCCATAGCAGATAAAAATCCTAGTAGATGTTCATTATAGAGAAGTTTTACTGTATATGCATGTAATCATTAAATAGTTTTTCTTTTCAATTTTAGGGATAATTTGACTGATGTTATTGTTCAACATTTATTGACAAACCAGAAAGTAAAAATAAAGTGCAGAGACTTAGTGAAAAAAATAGCTATCTACAAAAATAGGCTAGCAGTAAGTAATTCATTTGTATTATGTACTATTACACGGTTTTATATATATCATATAAAAATAACTAAGAACATCAAGAAGGCTATATTACTAATATGAAATATAAATTATAAATAATAGCTCATTTTAAACGGGATGAAATGCTGAATATTTCTCTAGCTTACAGTACGCAGATCCAATTTTTAGTGCCTGAGATATTTTAATCCAAATCTTCAATAAAACTCATTATAATTTGGTCTTCACCACTGTTGTTTCTCTTTTTGCCTCTCTATTCCAGAATCTTTCCCTAAGATTTAACCAAGTGATCAGCGGCAGAAGGTTTGAAAATTTAAAACAGTTGAGATGACAACCCTAATGCCAAAACCCCTCAAGTCGGCTAACTGGAAAATTATGTGATCTGCAACAGGAAAAAAAAAAACAATTGGAATAATTTCAGACAACTCAGTAGATGACAGACTAAAAAAATTCAGGCAAAATATTGGAAGCTTTATATGAATCTGACAGCTTTAAAAATCTCAAAAAGTGCCAAAAATTATGTGATCAGCAGCAGGCAAAAAACCAATTGGAATAGTTTAGACCACTTTGTGGGTAACATATTTAATAAAGTCAGACAAAATTTTGGAAGATTTATACGACAAAATCTGACAGCTTTAAAAATCTCAAAACGTCCCAGAAATTACATGATCAGTAGCAGGAAAAAATCTGTTAGAATTCTTTTCATGAATCTAACATGCAAATTTGAAAAATTTACCAAAAATTATATGGTCAGCATCAGGCAAAAAACGGTTGGAATAGTTTTATACCACTTAGTAGGTAATTTGATAAAATCTGACATTTTAGAAACTTTTCATGAATTTGAGACACAAATAGTTTCAGACTATTTTGTAGGAGGCTGATTTATTAAAATCTGACCAATATTTAGAAACTTGTCGAGATCATAGCACTTATTATGGGCGGGGCAGTATAACACAAAATTGGCATCCGTTGGTGCAAGAGTTTTTCTTCACATTTAGCCTCTATTAGGTTTATGAAAAATGTTGGTCAATCTGACAAACAAAAATACCAAATTAATGACACACAAATCCATGTTATTATTTAACCATTAACTATGCTATGTGTTAAGAAAATGTAGTTTTTATTCTATATTTCATAAAATGCTATTTATATATTGTATATGATATAGTTATCTATATCATCGACTGATAAGCAGCATCTAAAGAAATGAGTATACTTACTTAATCGTGCCGGTAATTTACCTGTTTATGTGCACTAATTTTTTTATCCATTATGTTCATGACGTAAAGAAAAGATAAGCTGTAGTGGCCTTTGTCTTTTCTTTACGCCAAGATGCAGATGTGAATTCAGACCCTGTCTAAAGATGTAAAGCTGGCAAGGTTTTGGCTAAGTCGATACCAATCTCTTGTTGAAATACGAGCAATCTCAGTTTCAATGGTTATGCATCTGTTTTTAGAGAATAGGAAGTTCCTCATAAGCCACCACCAAATGAAAATTACCCAATTTATTGATGACATTCTTGGGGTTTTCAGTATTCAGCTATAAATTTTACAAACTCGACTTTGAAATGATCCATTCCTTATAAATTTCTAATATTAGATAATCTAAAAATCTGTGATCTCTTTATAGTAAAAATATCTGATGTGGTTACTCCTAGTTTTCGTGTCTCATTCTTTCAATATACAATTGTTTTTCATACAATAAACACTTAATTGTACAATTGTTTAATATACAATAAACATGTTTTTCTGCATACTCTCCCTCAAAGTGATCTATCAATTTTTATAATCCAAAAGTTAAGATCAATCAGATCATCCTCACTAAATATAGTATTTTATAGATATGTAAAATTATTCTAAAAAATTACTAAAGAATGAGAGACCAGAGTAAGGGAAACCACATCAGATAGTTTTACTATAAAGGGACCACACAATTTCAAACCATCTAATTTAAAAAAAACTCATTAGGAGAGGATCATTTTCATTTAGTGTTGCCTTATGAGGAATCCTGCTATTCTTTAAAAGATGGATGAACAACCATAGAAACTGAGGTGGAATGCATGTATCTCAATAAGGGAATGTTACCGACTTAGCCAAAGGCTTGCTAGCTTTACATCTTTAGACAGGGTCTGATTTCACATCTGCCTCTGGGCATACAGGAAAGATACACTACAGTTTATGAAAAAACTAAAGATTTAAAGAAATATTTTCGAAACTCGGCCTATTTGAAAATATTCCAGGAAGAAATATCTTGAAACTTGAAAAATATACCTTCCATCTTTACGGACAAAAAGATTGTAAAAATATCCAATTCACAAATATGGCCAAAGCTAGGGCATTTTTTTTTTCATGAAGAGATAACTTATATCATATATTTAACATGTTAGTGTTGTAAATTTTATTGAATATGCTGTGTACATTATTTGTTTTTATTTAGGTATGATTGCTGCAATTTTTTTTATAAACAAATTTATTATAAATTGGAAATGTATAAAAATATTAAGTGTCATTTTTGTTTATATAAACGACATCTCTGTTGTTTTTTTATTGAATATTTTATACACCATAGTGTACATAATGTAAAGTTAAATTACAGGCATGATTGCGTGTGTATACGCTAATTTCTTTAGATGCTTCTCATGAATTGATATAGGTAACTATATCATAAATATAAATAGATAACTAGTATTTTATGAAATGCAAACAAAAGTTACATTGTCTTAACACTTTAACATGGTTAATGGTTAAATAATAACATTGTTTTTGAGTGCTCTTTACACAATTTTGGATTGTTTGGACTTTTTTTGCTAGATTGACCAATTTTTTTTATAAACTTAATAGATGGATTGAAATAGGTAGCAGGAAAAACTCTTGGACCAACGGATTCCAATTTTTTGTCATGTAGCCCCGCACGTAATAAGTGCTATCATCTTGAAAAGTTTCTAAATATTGGTCCTTCATAAAAAAAAATATTTTCTTAAATCAGATTCTTACAAAGTAATCTGAAATTATTTGATTCTCAAATTCTTGAAAAGTTTCCTAAATGTTGTCAGATTTTATCAAATTAGTTACCTACAAAGTGGTATAAAACTATTCCAACTGTTTTTTGCCTGATTCTGATCTCAATTTTTTGGTGAATTTTTCAAATTTGCACATCAGATTCATGAAAAGCTTAAAAAAAAAATATATTCAGATTTTATAAAATAACAATAATAAAATTATTACGAAAGCTGTCGCATTCGTATAAAGCTTCCAAAACTTTGACTGACTTTTTTAAATCTGCAGAGTTATCCGAAACTATTCTAGTTGGTTTTTTTCCTGCTGCTGATCACGTAATTTTTGGCAGTTTTTACGATTTTTTAAATTCTACCATAGCCAAACGCTTCCAATTGTCTGACTCAAGGGTTTTTGTCATTAAGGTTGTCATCTATACCGTTTTCAACTTTCAAACTCTGCTGATCATGAGGATAAATATTTGGTAGGTCCAGAACTACTCTAACATGGCATCTCGTTAAGATTCAGTTTTGAATAATAGCCCATTACAGAGACAATAAAAGGTTGAACAGTTCCCTCACTTACAGTATGCAGGTCCGATTTTTAGTTTCCAAGATATTTTAATCCATATCTTTAATAAAATTTGTTATAGTTTGGTTTTCGACACCATTTTTTCCTTTTCACCTCCCTAACATGGCGTCGCGTTAAGATGTAATTTTGAATAATAACCCATTACAGATAAGATGAAATGTTAAACAATTACCTTAGTTACAGTATGCAGGTCTGATTTTTAGTTTCAGAGATATTTTAATCCGTATGCAAAAACACTTCAATTATTTGACTCCAGCCGACTTTACCTGAGCATTACACATTGGAGATCTAACAGCTCAATCTGATTCACTCTCCAAAAAAAAGAGCAAAACTCACCTAAAGAAGTTTTCTCTTCAAAAAGTTTTAATGACTGTCATATTTTATTTTATATATGCAAAGCAAGGCGGACCGTAATGAAGACAGAGTGAAAATCTGAAATCAGGGTGAAAATTCTTTTCACCATCATCTACAATATTTTATAGATCAGGCCTGGGCAAAAAGTATTTTAATTATTAAAGATGGATAAGTAGTTGACTTATGAATTATAAGGATGAAATAAAATTATCAGGAATTTCAATCTAAATTTCTTTAGCTGACGTTGTGACCGAAACACATGCTGTGGGTAATCATCATCAGGGCTATCGTTCCAAGATCGAGACAAGATCGCTGTGCGACTTTCCAAGGATAGCACTGATAATGGCCCACATGTTTTGGTCAAAACATTGGCTAATCTATTTAAGAAATTTTGACTGAAATTCCTGACACTTTCATTACATTCTTATTTTAATTCTTATTTTAATCAACCAATACTTGTTTCTGGGACTTACCTACCCTCTTCAGAAGACATATGCAGTTTTCATAAATGCTATTGTTGGCATTTAATATTTAATTTTATAGATTGCTGCAATATAAATATTGAAATTTGTATATTAAGGGTACTTACACAAATAAAAATACCCAAAATGATAAATAAATCAATATAGCATGTATAATTTTTACTTTTACTTCTCCTTTGTCTCAAAATATCCTTTCTGCTAATAATTCTTCTAATAAGTGGGTGGTAAGTGAAAGTCTTGGACCGCACTAGATTTTTAAAAACATATTTGGTTTGTTTAGTATTTAAAAAAAAAATGTAATTATTGTACCTGGATCAAACTTTAAATTAAATTTTCTCGGAACTGTAAATAGGTTTCACCTTTATCCACTAGACCTTTTTATATATTCTGCCATATAAAGGTACTATCTATTAAATTGCACCTATTAGTTCTTTTTAAGTATAAATTTGCCACAAAATATATTATGTAATGAGGTTTAAAAATAAATTTAATATACTTTTTCCTTCTTCTGAACAACTCCTATGTCACTGCTGTTTAAAATCGTTAATGCCATTTCCAAACTTATATAAGATTTGGAAGACCATGTAGCCAGTTAGATCATTCTATTTTAATTCTCAGTTTATTGAATCATTAATTTTTAAATGTATCTTTCTTTTACATATTTAATAGGAGATGATGTAATTGAAGATGTGGAGATAAATTAGCTATAATAATGTAAATGTATTGGAGATGTGGAGATAAATTAGCTAGAATAATGTAAATCATAAAATAATTTCAGGTCCAGTTAGGTGAAAGAGTTGTTATTTATGAGCTTTATTCAAATGACTCATCTGGTATGCGTTATCGTGTAAAGGAGAAATTGGCTATTAAAGTGAGTTGGTTTTATAACTAAGACAAAAATATAATATTTGACTATTTTATTTTTATTACAATGCTGATTTTATGTGTCTTTCTTTTAGGTTGATTGTTATTTATTAGTAGTTTGTTCTAACCATGTTGTCCTCTGTCAAGAGAAACGTTTACAATCACTGACTTTTACTGGCACTAAAGAACGAGAATGGGAAATGGATTCTGCTATTAAATATATCAAGGTGGTCGGGGGGCCACCAAAGAGAGAGGGGCTTCTCCTCGGCTTAGCTAATGGACAGGTAGATTTTTAAAACATTGATAGCTTTTTCTATACCAAAATTAAAAGTTCAAGGTAGACATCATTGACTTTTGATAATTTTATATCAATGTTGTACATATAATCAGATAGAGTGTTTAGTAATTTAATTTATGTTGCTTATATTCTCTGTAATGTGAATAACAAAATATGTTTCAAAATCGACTTAAACATTTTTCTTTCTGTAATAGGTAGTCAAAATTTATTTAGACAATGCTTTTCCTGTACAACTTCTTAAAATTGGCTATCCAATCAGATGTTTGGATCTTAGCCCGAGTAGAAAGAAGTTAGCAATTGTAGATGGCAATGAACGCTGTCTTGTGTATTCATTGAACAACCCTTCTCAACCTTTATTTCAGGTACGTTATAGACTATTATGCTAAACATTTTTATTTTATTTATTTATAAAATTGTGTCAGTTTTTGAAATACTTTCATCTATTTAAGGAAATTAATGCAGTGAGCGTGGCATGGAACAGTTGCTGTGAAGACATGCTTTGTTTTTCAGGGAACAATATTTTTGGCATCAAAGCCAATGGGTTTCCTGTTCATCAGCAGAAACTTCAGGTAGTTGTTTATTTAAGCTTAGTCAGAGACAAATAGATTTCATAAATGATTGTTGAAGCTTAGCTGATTATTATTTCAATATTTTTATTATTTATGTTATATGATTTGTTGTATATTCAGAATTTTGCTTTTTGTGGTATTTGAAAAGACGCGAGAAGTGATTTCTTAGTATGATATGAATTGACTTCATTTATTTTATTTTTTTCCTTTGTTTATCTCCCTAATTTACATTTTTTTCTACAGCATTATGATCCCAAAAAATATTTTTTTTTATCCTCCTTAATATATATATGCCTATGATGACGCTGAACTGTTTTCCTTGAAATTGACCAACCAGAATTGCTATTTCATCATCACCATCAATTTTATGCTTTTTTTTTTTGCAATTTCATGATTTTGATGAAACTTTTTATATTGATGTAAAATTTAATGATTTTTAATATCAGGAAGGTCTTGCCCTAATTGAAATAGTCTTACAGGACTTAATTGCTAATTTTTCAAAATAGTCTTCTCTCACTATTTATGATTAGTAGCAATAAAAACTTAATAAATATAAACTATGTAAGAAGTTATTTATTTCTAACAATGAAGGCTTCTCAACCACTTAGAATCATTTTAGCCCTTACACAATATTTATATTACACAATATAAAATTTAACATTAAACTTGAGGGTAGTAAAGATTAAAATATTAAAATGTAAAATTAGTAAGAATTTAAAAATTAACTTAAGAAGAAAGATTTTCACAGGTTGAAAACAAAATCCTGGAAATAATTGTATTGATATAGATTTTTAATATATTGTTGGAATGCTGAAAATTTTCTAAATATATGTTTTAACACATAAAGTTTTAGAAGGTGATGGAAAATATCAAAAATCATAGCACTAATAATTAATGAAAATTAATATTATTTTACTACTTATGAACTGTTGGGAAATCATTTTAACTCCGAATATTCATTTGAGTATTCATGAGATGTGAGAGGAACAACTTAAAATTCAGACAATTTTCACACTTGTTTTTGTTTTAGCCTATGCCATGAACATAAGGAAAATTATAAACAGTTATTTGATTATGATTATTATATTATAATGATCTTGCTTATCATGATCATAATTACATAATTACAATTACAGGATTTCTCAATTACAATCATATACATGGCTTGATTATGATCGCAATCATATAATCAACTAATAGCTTTTTTTAATTATTTTTTATTTTAATTGTAATCATTAAGCATGATTATACTCATCTCTTCATTTAAGTGATATAGCTGTTAGTACTAAGTTTTGTCTTGTACGTTCCTATATTTGTACATTAAAGTAGAAATATTTGTTTAGTCCTCATTCTTCAATCTAAGAAGTATGTAAATTAGAAAGATAAGTAAAAATAGTTGTAATAAATAATTTTCATCTCCTAAAAAATATAAAAACAAAAATAAGTTAGTTAAAAACAGTTACCTAAATTCTAAACAGCCACTATCCACATATTATTAATAATTTAAAAAACATATAAAAAGAGATAAGTATAAAATGTATGTATAATAAATAAATGCATTAGTAAAACAAAACAATAGCTCTTAATTAGGTTTATAAATATATATCAAGGGAAAGAAGGATGAAATAACTAAATAAGATTAGTTTCTAAGTCCAATCCTAAATAACAGATGCAGTGTGACTTTTAAAATGAGCAACTTCTTTTACTTAAAATATGTAAAAACAATTTTACTTGGACTTGGAATTTAACTTGGACATCCCAACGTATTTATAAATTTTTTAAATGGCAGAACGCCCTGTGATCAAAATAGGCCTAATATGTTGTGCTAATTTTATTATTATCAAACAAAAAATTGTCTATGAAGATGGGTCAAGAGTCGAAAACATTAACAAATGGAAAATAAAAAAATAAAATAGTATTATAATAATTGGTAGAGGTACTTTCATTTTAAAACAAAATATCCAAAATCACTATACAATTATTTATTGTAAAACAAAAAGTGTAAAAATAGAAATATTAGTTTTAGTCTTTATTCCTCTAGCTAAAAAGAATGAAAATAAAAGTATAATTAGTCTTGAATAATAGTTCATAACTTTTTTCATCAAAACAAAATAAGTAAGAAAATAGAAAAAATTAGTATTTTTCAATTTATTTTTTTTCTACTAAGTTGGTTTGAAATAAGAAATCTAGCCTGAATGTATTTTTGGTTGAGAAAATAATTTTTCTTTACTTCTCCATTTTCTATGTTCAGCCTTGAGATCAGTTTCTCAGCTGTTCTCCATGTTTTTTCTTCACATAAGTCCTCAAGTAGTCTTCACCTAGCAAGCAAATGAACTTTAGTGTCCTGTCAAGTTCCGCACAAGGGACCTAATTCTTTTGTTTGAAAATAGAAGGCATGATGCTGAGTATAGTTCCTTGCATGTTAAATAATATTAATTGATTGTGTTTTATTAAAATATGTCACAATATACACAAGTGGTATCTATTTCAAATAATTTTTTTTTTTTCCAGGGGTTCGTGGTGGGCTTTTGCTCATCCAAGATATTTTGCTTTCATAACAATTCGATGTCATCAATTGATGTTCCACTTTCTGCTCCAATGTATCAGTATTTGGAAAAAAAAATGTTCAGGTAATCTTTGACCGTTTATCATCTTAAAATATTGTTTATTAAATATTTTCTTATTGCAGATCAATCCCTTCAAAAGCAGGTTCATGTGTGTTGGACGAAGGAACGAGGATCTTAGAATCACTTGCAATGGAGAGACCCTTGAGCAAGATACCTACTGCTACCTGGGAACAATGATTGGCAGGGATGGAAGAATAGACCAGGAGGTCATGAATAGAGTCCAAAAGGCCAATGGAATATACTACCAAATATCCATGACACTAATTGGATAGCAGGAGTTGAGCCGAAAAGCGAAGATTCTGCTATTAAAATCAGTTTTTCTCCCAGTGCTGCTTTATGGATCGGTGAGCTGGACACTCTTGGACCGCCATGCCAGCAAGATTGTCTCTGCAGAAATGAAATTCCTATGGAAAATATTGGAAAAACCAGGCAAGATTGAATAAGGAATGAAAGGGTGCGAGATGAACTAGGAGTTAGATCCGTCCTAGAGACGATTGAAGAAAGGCAGTTGAAGTGGTATGGTCATGTCAATAGAATGGGAGATGACCGTAAGGCCAGGTGACTTCTAGAAGCAAGACCGGGAGGAAGGCGACCTCAAGGCAGGCCAAGGCTTATGTATGCAGACTTGATAGAGAGAATTGGCGCAGCGAGAGGAAGCACCATGCCGGAGATGAGAAGACTTACACAGGACAGGGACTGTTGGACAAGATGGTCAGAGGCAGCTACTCCTTAGATAGTGAGAGAAGAAAAAAAATATTTTCTTTGATTAGAACATTGCATTCATCGATCTATCCCTTCTTATGTGAATTAACCGCTTATTTCTTGGATAATGAAATCAATAAATTATTAAAATACATATATGTCCTTGGTTATTTCTAAAATCATATTATTATTATTTGACCCGTATTATTCTTTTATTGAAAGTAAGCCCTTAAAGAGTTAGGGGATTGCCAAGATATATGAAATATTGTCAAGATAAAATAATGAGTTGTTCATATAACTTATCAGTCATGTAATAAGGTTGTGCAAACCAAATTGAACCTTTTTTACCTTAATATCCAATTTTTTATGACTGAGAGTATTTGATTGTGTATCAAAAATCATGAGTGTTTTTGACTTTGTGTTATAAATAATATTGTTGGTGTCCTCACAATACTTCTTTATTGTCCTAATTGTTCAACTACTAATTAAAATTTTCTCAATTTTTAAGAATCCATTTCTGATATAGCTGTAGTTTTGCTTTGCGTTTAAAATAATGAATTGACTGAAGGCATTGCCAGGTTAGTGATGATAATCTTTTTTTGGAGTGTATGTAAGCGATATCAAGCTTTCTATTCAAAATTTTAAAAAAGTGAAATGATCCTGTAATATATATGTTATCATCCAATTAAGTTTCCTAATATTTTACTTTATATTTTAAATAAATGATCATATTTTAATTGTAGATTAAAAAATTTAATGTATATTTTTTCTTGCAGGGAAGCTTTTGAGATTGCATGTTTAGGAGTTACTGATTCTGATTGGAAAGTTCTTGCTTTCACTGCCTTAGATGCTCTTGATTTAGATGTTGCCCGTAAGGCTTTTATACGAACTAAAGATCTTGTGTATTTGGATCTAATACATGAACTGCAGGTATTTTAGAATTACCTTGAGGCCTTGAATAAAATTATATTAAAACAGATTTAATATGTTCTATAGAATGCAATTAAATACTCTTATCACATTCTTAGAATGTGATTAGAGTACTTTATCATAATAAGATCTAATAAATATATTTTACATTTTTAAGTTATTTATGTAACAAAATAATTATACTTTCTATTTTTTTTTTTTACTTATACTTTTTTTATAATGAATAAAATAGATGATAAGTGTTACTAAAAAATGTCTGCAAAGGTCATAATCTCTTCCCCATCATTTGTATGAATTAAACAAGGAAAAACAAATTTGCTGATCAAATTATTTATTTTGTAATGTTTTGGAAAATGCATTTCCCTCTTTTATATCTTTAATGTCACTTCTTTTATATATTTAATGTCACTCCTTTTTAACATTAACTATCTGTGGTGCAGTACTTATATACTTACCACAAACAAAACTAAGATGTGTGCTTTAGACCACACGATAGAACAAAACATTAACAAGGCCAGATTAATAATATGAATTATAAATTATAAATAATAGCCCATTACAAAGGGGATGAAATGCTGAACATTTCACTTTCTTACAGTATGCAGGTCCAATTTTTAATTTCTGAGATATTTAAATCCATATCTTCAATAAAACTCTTTATAATTTAGTTTTCAACAATATTTTTCACTTTTTGCCTATCTAACACAGCATTGCATTAAGATACAATTTTGAATAATAGCCCATTACAAAGAGGATGAAATGCTGAACAATTCCCTCACTTACAGTATGCAGGCCGATTTTTAGTTTCTGGGATATTTTAATCCATATGAAAAAACGCATTTAGATTATATTACATTTTACCATTCCTCATTTTTCTATTCTCTGTAGGAAAGAAATGAGAAAGACAAAGAAATTCTGAATGGACTGGTGTTGGCTTACAGGAAGAAATACAAGGAAGCTGCTCGTGCTTGGGCGAGGGCTGGTCGCCAAGATCTAGCTCTTGGAATGTACACAGAGCTAAGAATGTTTGACCATGGTCAAGAGTTTGTGTCAGGTTAGTTATCAATCATTGTTATATTTTACAAAAAGAACCTGTACCACTACAACCCATGGAATGTCTTGGGTTCAGTACTTGTTATGGTGTGTGGTTTCTTTATATTGTAACATCTCTCTTATATTTTACAAATAATAATATAATCTCGGACGATCACTTTATACTTTTGGGATACTTCCTAAATAAATAAGAGGTTATTAAATAATAAGCAAAATTATAAGAGTATTAATATTTTAAATTGAAATTTACAATTATTTTATCTCAGGTATGGGTTACTGACAATCAGATCAAAACACTCACACAAACTATTATTATTTAATTCACTCTATTTATACTAAAATTAACTAAAACTAAACACTGGTTTTAAAATAAAGTCAAGTATGGATTGGCAAGCTAATCTTTTTTCTATATATATACTGTTTCTTCCTTTGTTGCACTAAATTCATTTGTCTTCAAACATTTTCCAAAGTTGTGCCAAACACAGCTTCCAAAATGGTAACACTTTCATCAACTCAGCTCAAGCTTTCTGGAAGATCCTCTCTCTTGTAATTCCAAACTAGTCTCTCCGCCAAACAATAACTTCCAAGTTGGTAATACTATTGCTGAGTTTGATCCACTGGAGCCAGGATTCCTTCTCCAATCCTCTCTTCACCCCAGTCAAACACCAACTGCTTGCCAAAACAAATCCTTTGTCCGACCCCTCTCCTCATTGGGATTTTCCTTTCTGAGTAAACTACAAAGCAGCTATTTTCTCTTTCCTGAACTAGTGAAACTAGATTAGCTTGATTTTTAACTGTTACATTAATTTATTAAATCATTTTTACAATATACAGTTGTTCAAGGTAGAGATTTGACCAAGACCATGCAAAACTATCAGGTTTTCCCCCTAAATAATTGTTTGATAAAGAGTACCCATTTTATAAAGACTGGAATTGGTATGCCTTGTTGTTCCTTACAATTTCCTTGGCTTTTTCTATGCCTCAGTACCTGTTCTATGAGATCAAGAACCCATTCGTTCAACCTCCTTTCCTTTGTACAGTTATAAAGGTGTCTTCCTTATCCCATAAACTCTTTGCGCTCACTATAACTTATATTTAACTGATAGGAAGTGCTAATGTTTTCCACTAGTACTAAATAAAAATCCACCAATAAAATCAGTAACAATAAAACCTATCTAAAATAAGACCCCATCATATACTAAGTGTACCGGCTATATCGATTCCACAATATTGTTATAGAGGTAATTTAATTTTGCTAAATTATTACGGGTGTTTGTTGTGTCCTTAGTCCTTCCTATATAAATCATTTCTAGAATCAATCTTTTTTCTAGATTCCTTTCAATATCAAGGACTCTTACCTTATCGAAATTGAATTTATGCCTATTCTAAATAGCATGGCTGGCTAAAGTCATCTCTTCTTTTTTTACTTTGTTAGCTTGAACTCTTCTGAAGCAGTACTGTGAATTTTGCCAAATATATGTCTCCCCATATTTATTTCTTAAATCACCTTTGACATTCTATCTCGGCTCGTCTGATCTTTTAGTTTGGAGAAGAATGTTTATTGGTATAATTCTCATACTCCAAGATTAGGTTGTGGGCGTGTGGTGGCCCCAGTAGCCTGATATCTTTGCTGGAAGGCGATACTGTTGTGGGTGTCAGCGTGCTGCCTGGCTGGGTGTATCAATGCTCAATTTTAAATAAGTATGATAAATTTAAAGAAAAAAAGAAATGCAAAAAATGGAGCACAGTAGGCTCCCTAAAATGATGATTAAGGACATCCGGGTGAAAAGAGGAAATGAGGCAGATCTAGACTTCGTTGGCTGGAAGATTTTGAAAATGATCTAAGGAGCCTGGGTGTAGGCAGATGGAGAAGGGTAGCCAAAAACAGGTCAATTTGGAGGAAGATAGTAGAGGAGGCCAAGTTTCTACAATGACCATAGTGCCATCGGATGATGATGATGATGATAAATTTAAGATTATTGTTAAAACATATGAAAACTTTTATTTGTTGTACCAATGATGGATAATGTTTTTCCAGAACTGAAGAGGATCATATTATTTAGTTATTTAGTCAACTCCTGGTTTCCTCTCTAGTGTTACCTCACTTTGACTATGGCTGTCTGATTTACAGTGGATTCTCGGAAGAATTCAAAGCCAAAATTAGATGCTTAATGAATTGTGTAACATGTTTTGTTTTCGGAATCTCAAGAGATACACATATAACCCAGTATTACTCCGAGTTGAAGTGGCTCTATCCATCCATCTGCCGTATGTACTTCCTTGCTACCTTTCTATACCAGGTAATAAGAAATCAGCTACCCCTCCTACATTTTTCACAGTCTACAATTTAAATACTCTATTCAATCCCTTCTCACTAGATCCCGTACTTCCGACCTCTATCCTCCTCCTCACCAAACTGCTGCGTGTGACAAATCCTTAATAATACAAGCTGTCTTCCTCTGGAATTCTATCTCTACTGATATTAAGCATGTACAATCAGTTTCCTCTTTCAAACCTCTTCTCTTTAAACACATACTCCTTTCACAATCAGACTGTTCATGAAGCGTGCCTAATAGAACTCTAAGTACCCCTAGAGACTTTTCTGGTTTACTTATGTTATTCTAGTTTCTGATGTTTGTTTTATATATATGTATGTTTATTCTTTTTCTCTCTTTCTCTTTCTATCTGTATTTTTATTTTTAATCAACTATTATTATGTAAATACTTAATTTATGTTTGGCCACCCTGAAATTTAACCCCTGTACTTAAAATTTGTTCTAAAGGGACAAAAATCCCAGAATAATAAAAAAACAAATTTCGTTTCACATTTTAGGTACTCATTAGTGGTGGCCACTTTGTCTCAAACTGTTTATTAAAATGTTTATTTCCAATCAATTCTACATTCCTTTTTAACTGTTACAGATTCACCTACAGAAAGAGTCTCTCTCTTAAGAAAAAAAGCTGACTGGGCAAGAGATACAAATGAACCAAAGGCTGCAGCCCAAGTTTACCTTGCTGCTGGTGATACTATGAGGGCCATTGAAATCATGGCAAACCATGGTTGGGTTGACATGTTAGTAGTTACATCCATGTAACCCCACATATTTAATAAGGGGTATTTAGTAGATATACATTTCCTACATGTGTTGAAAATCTCCATCATTAAATCTTTTTATTGCATTTTATGTTAGTAGATATGGCAAAGTAATTAATCTCAAAATTAAAACTTTTTTTGTTTTATAATGGTTCATTTAAATTTTTACCTGTAAGAAGGTTTTTTTTCTGTGTTTTCCCCCTGTTTTTAAAGTATAGCAGCTTTACATCTCAATTAATCTGAATTATATTTTCCATCATTTATTTTTTCTAGGTTGATTGATGTAGGAAGGAAATCCAACTCGTCTGATTCTGATATCATTAAAATTATTGCTGATACTTTGAAAAACCTTAACCATTTGGAACTGGCTGCAGAGATGTTCAGGTTATAAACTTTATACTTTTCAAGTATTTTGATTGTATTATTAATGATTTTTTAATTTTTTTAAATTCATATAATATAAATTTCTGGTGATAGGTTTTTTTTCATTTACATGCATTATAAAAAAATATATTGCAGGTTTCCAAATTATTTTTGAATTCTGTAAAACTTCTACAAAATTGGTATTGTTTCATGTTAATGATTAATTATGCCTCATATCTAAATCTTGGAGGTAAATTGCATTATTTCAAGATAGTGTCGTTACATAAAAGTTACATTATCCACAAAATTTGTTATAATTGCCTTTCTGGCCAATATATAATGTATTACGGAGTATGAAAACATTTTTAACTATATTCAACATGAAAGTACTTGAAAGTTGATTGAAGTGATACAGTGAAGTTTTAACTTATAGGTCTTAATGCATAACATATTATAGGTTATAATTCATACCTAATACATTCAAGGCTTTTTCTATCTATATTAAATTGTAATATTTAAAACAGGAAACTTGGTGATGAAGAAGAGCTTATAAAAGTAGAAGTTGAGGCTGGACAATGGGAAAAAGCACTCGTAGCGGCCGAGTCAGACCCTAAGTTTCGACCCATTGTTTACCTTCCATATGCAAGATATCTTGCTGAAAATGATAAATTTGTCTTGGCACAAAAAGGTATTTCTATATTCTAAATATATTTAAAAATCTTTAGCATCTCAACCCTTGAGTAATTAAAATTAGTTTTAGTGCTAGGGGTTATGATATAATATAACAAAATGATATATATAAAGGGGTTATGATATATATAAAAAAAACAAAATGATTAGGGGTATGATTTATTGCAAATATTATTTATTTATGGATATTTGAATGTGATGGGGATTCCAAATAATAATTTGTTAGGAAAGCATAAAATTTGATATTCTCAAGTGTAGCGACGTCAGTTCGAATCTGGCCTGGAGTGTTGAAATTTATTTCATGGTGGACCCACGAAATGAATCTCGACCTCACTCTATTTAGAATAGGTTAGGTCTTACCTATGGGGAGTGGAGTAGTCAGTGGTAGGGCACTGAGCTTCCAATGCAAAGGATCTAGGTTCGAACCCCGGCTCATGGCAGAAAGTTTTATTTATCAGTATCATTGGCCGTGGGGCGACCCTGGGTCGGGAGACCCTTCTGGGGCACACCCAGCCTCTATAAAGTGGGGTATCCTTAATTAAATAATTAATTAAGGGGGAAAAACCTGGCGGTTGAGCGTGATCTCAGTCATATGACCTCCTTGCACAACCGTTGACCTAGAAACGATACTTTCCCTAAATAGTACTGAACCCCAGACCCTTCATGGGTTGTAGTGGTACAGGTTTTTTTTTTTTTTTTTGGTCGTACCTATAGAACAATCCTGAGCGATGGGATAAAAAGAAGAGGAACAATTTTGGGACACTATTTGATATGGGCAGGCTTTAGAGTTTGAACAGGAATATCTTTTGGTTGACGGAATCATATATGGTGTCAGTATAGATATCAGCAGGCAGCATAAACCAAAAAATGGCCTAAATTGTTATACAGTTGTCTCTCTTACAGCTAATGGCTCAGGAGCAGGCATCTTTAGAAAAGATAAATCCAGTGAAGGTTTTTCATTCTTCCTTTGCAAATATGCAATGTATTTCAATCTGAAATACTGGCAATTTGCCATTGTGCCTTTAACCTATTGCATGAACAAATGACTGGTAAAATAGTAATAATCTATCATGATAGTCAGGCAGCAGTAGGGGATTTAAATAATTACTATTCCTACTAACGAGTTGTTAAGGATTGTAGTGCAGCGCTGAACAACCTGGCATCTGAGTATAATGTGGCTAATCATCAGCCTCTTCATTGCCAGTGTTGAGCACTGCACTACAGTCCTTAACAACCTTGCTGAGCATAATAAGGCCGCCGTTGACTGGGTGCCTGATCACTCTGTTATCACTGGCAATGAAGAGGCTGATAGATTAGCCAGGTTAGACTCAGATGCCACTCCCATAACTCCTTGATCTGTCTGTGGTATATGCTTAAGCTCTGCCAAAAGGAGAAGCAGGGAGATAAATGGTGCCAATTTTGAGCAGTACTGGTCTGATAAGGTACTATGGCATTCAAAACTGTCCTTTCAATTCTGTAACTCTAATTAAGATACACAAAAGTGACTAAAATAATATTTTAATATAAAATGGCTTACCTTAGCCTTTAATAAAATTGGGCCTTTAAGGCTACAGTGAATTATACTACAAAAAAAAAAAAAGTTCCAATATCCACTCTAAATAACTTGGGCTTCACCTGTTGATTTTATTGTTTTAATGGCTTATTATTATTTTTTTTTTTTAAACTGAACACTGATGACCTGTAGACTGGTAACCCTCAATTTTTATTATCAGATTCATAAATTTGAAATAATTATATCAGAGACCAAAATCAGGATTAAATTTTGTTTTGTCTTGAACCCTCAGAAGAACAAATCTTTCAATTTTAACTCTTTCATAAATAAAAAGCTTGGCAGTATTTAAAGAAGCACATCCTTTTTTTATCTAATTGATGCCCCATAAATGATATACACAATAATGATTAAAAATAATCACAGTCATTTTTAGAATAATATATTATTACCTCAAACATATTATATAATTGTATTTCAACAGTGCATTGAAATATTCAATATAGATATAATTATTTTAAAGGCAATAATTAATTTTTTGAAGCCTACCAAAAAGCTGGTCATCCTGAAGAAGCATTCAGAGTTGTGAAACAGCTGACGGAAAATGCAGTTAGTGAATCTAGATTCAATGATGCAGGATACTATTATTGGCTTTTGGCAAAGCAGTGTTTACAACTTGCCGGGTATGTGTCATTAATAATTTATTATATTTTATAACTCGTTGCCATTTTGGTGTAATTTGGTAGTATTTTAGGGCTATGATTTTATGAAAATTACCAGACTTAAGCTATTTCTGAAATATATATTGTAACTGATCAGCAGTGCATTATACATGCCATAGAATACTTATATCTCTATCTGGTAAAAAAAAAAAGCTTTTTTTCTTAGAAGGAAAGAAACATTCATAGGTTTATGGGCCAATGGGAGAGGGTGGAAATTGGAGAAGCGAAAATAGGAACCTTTATTACCTGTTTGGATACTTTGACATTATGAGTTATGTACGGTTTGGCAGCATCTATTCATGCTGTAATAATGAAAGATAAAGTCACAGCAAAGAGGTTGCTGTGCTCATAAGTAGAGAGAAACAGTAGAATGACCCAGATTGAGGTTTTAACATGAGGTGTCCTGGAATTCTAAGATCCCTTGTTGATGTAGAAACCTGGAGTACAGGATCGAAATGCTGGGAGGAAGTTCACAGATATGGACTTCCTAATTGTAGCTCCAAATTCTAATAACAACAGGCTGTTGAATATAATAAGTTATTAAAAATCAGAGGATTGAGGACAAGTTCAGAACCTAAGTTATTGAGAGTATCGAACTGGAACTATTCCATAAAATGATAAAGTTCTGTAGACCGTGGTGTGTTTAATTTGGAAAAGCATCTTTGGTTTAAACCTCGCGCGGGCTCATTACCGCGTATGGGGAGCGTCCCACGGGTGGCGGATGTGGGGATGGTCGGTGGAAATTTCTTGGAAGTTCCTCCCGGCTAAGTCCGATGGACTCGCTGACCAACAATGAGAGGGACCCTCCAGACTTGCTGGAGGGTGTGACGTAGGATTGAACGCCCTACTCACATATCTTTAGTTCACCAAACACCACAAAAAGTCATGGATCTCCCTAAGGTAAAACGCTCATTATCCGGAGGTAAACTAGTCTCCCGTTCGGGTCTCTGGGTGGGGACTGCTTTAGGGGATTCATGGCGCAAGTTGAAATATAGGGATTTAAATATTGGTACGTGGAATGTAAGGAGTTTAAACACAGCAGAGGGGCTAAAATCGGTCGCGAATGAGGTAAATGGGTACAATTTGGATGTCGTGGCTCTGCAAGAGGTTCGCTGGCCAGGGGAGGGCTCGATTAGGGAAGGAAAGTACACTATTTGGTACGGAGGAAGCGGGAATCATTGTTTAGGTACCGGGTTTCTAATTAGGAGTAAATTACTATCCGCTTTGAGGGACGTACAATTCTTTAGTGATAGAATTTCGGTAGCTACATTTCAGGGACGTTGGTTTAAAATCGCATTAATAAACATACATTGTCCGACCGAAGACAGTGACGATGAAGTCAAAAGTGAATTTTACGATAAACTTGAATGGGTTTATGATAAACTACCGCGAAACTACATTAAAATAATTGTAGGTGACGCGAACGCAAAGGTATGAAGGGAAGAAGTTTATATTCCGACGATTGGTAAAGAAAGTTTGCACGAATATAGTAATGATAATGGGATCCGTCTGATAAACTTGGGATCTCGAAAAACCTGATAATTAAAAGTACGACGTTTAAACATAAGGATATTCATAAATATACTTGGACATCACCGGATTCGCAAACACGAAATCAAATCGATCATGTCTTGATCATGATCGATTTGATTTCGTGTTTGCAGTATAAGCAGTATAATCAATGTACGGTCTTATCGCGGAGCAGAACGTGGGTCGGATCATGAATTAGTAATCGCGAAACTTCGACAAAAACTTAATATAAAAAAGAGAAAAGAAAACCGTTTCGATTTTGAGAATTTTAATTTGGAAAAATTAAAAAATCCATCAATTAGAAACCAATTCGAGCTAGATGTTAAGAATAGGTTTGAAGCTTTAGAGCTTCCTGATGAGGACCAGGAGGATATTGACAAGTTATGGGTAGAGATCAGGGATAATATTAAAGCGGTCGGTAACTCGTGTCTAGGAAAAAAGGAAAATAAGAATAACAAACCGTGGTTTGATGAAGATTGCTTAAACATGTGCGAAAAAAGAAAAGCCGCTAAATTAAAAGCTCTAAATAATCCTAGCGAAGACAATCTGGAATATTTCTGAACCTCGAAGAACGAAACGACAAAATTGCTCAAAAATAAAAAAAGGGAGTATCTTAAAAATAAAATAATTGAAATAGAAACTAATAGAATCGAAAATAACGTAAGAGACATGTACAAAGATATAAACAGATCACGTAAATATGTAGGGCCCGTAACGTCTGGAATTAGGGATGATAATAACAATATTCTGACCGATCCGGTTGACATATTGAATAAGTTTAAGGACCACTTTGACAATATTTTAAATACGGGAAATTATGATCTGTGTCCTCCTTCTGAGTACCAGAATGCTGAACCGTTAATAGAAGGACAAAAAAAGAGGAAGTTGAAGTAGCTATCGGAAAATTAAAATCTTATAAAGCAGCGGGAACCGATAATATTCCCACTGAACTAATTAAGGCATGCGGGGAAGCTGGAGTTTCTAAAATACATCGGTTGGTTAAAAAGATCTGGGTGAACGAGAAATTACCTGAAGAATGGAAAGAATCTATTCTTATTCCGATTCACAAAAAGGGTCCGAGGATGGATTGTAATAACTATCGAGGAATTTCACTCCTTCCGGTATGTTATAAAATATTCACTTTAATCTTAACCAGTCGAATCACGGAATACGCCGAGGAAATTATTGGAGACTACCAATGCGGATTTAGACGGAATCGTTCGACTATTGATCAAATATTTTCTTTACGGCAAATATTAGAGAAAAAATTGGAGTATAACGGTATTGTTCACCAGCTGTATATAGATTTTAAAAAGCCTTACGATTCTATTGACCGCCAGAAACTGTATAATATTCTAATCGAGCAGGGGATTCCAAAAAAACTAGTAAATCTAGTCAGGATGTGCTTGACGGAGACACTCAATAAAGTTAGAATCGGTAATAATTTGTCCCGATAAACTTAATAAGCCCAATAAGCCCATTTGATTCGCCGCGATGAGATTACCTCAATTATATTACCCGGATACAGCTCACGCAATTCGGCGTTGTGTAACCGTCTGAACTCTCCGGTTAACTCATCCTTCTTCGGTCCGAATATTCTACACAATACTTTATTTTCAAAAACCTTAAGACGCTGCTCATCCCTTAAAGTAAGCGGCCAAGTTTCGCATCCATAAAGAACTGTAGGCAAGATAATTGTTTTATAGATTCTAATTTTTAAGTTTCGGGACAAGAGGCGCGAACTAAGTAGTTTTGTCATAGAAAAATAACAAGCATTCCCCGCCTTCAGTCTAACCTTAATCTCTTCTTCAATTTCGTTTTTTCTAGTTATCGTAGAACCTAGATACCTAAATTTATCTATCTGTTCAAACATATTACCATCTATATCGATATCAACAGTAGTATCGCCATTTTTGCAGCTAACCATATATTTTGTTTTATCCACGTTTATTTCGAGTCCTAGTTCTTTACCGGCTTTCATTAACGTTGTCGTATTTAGTTTTATAGTTTCAACATCTTCGCTTAACAGTACCAGATCATCAGCATAGCCCAGCACGGATGTAGTCCCGCCCAGATCCAACCCTTTCTCGGTTCGCATTACCTCCCTAATGGTATGTTCTAATGCCAAATTGAACAGGACAGGCGAAAGAGAATCCTCCTGTTTTAAGCCCAAACGAACCTCAAATTTTTCGGACAAATTATTACCGATTCTAACTTTATTGAGTGTCTCCGTCAAGCTCATCCTGACAAGATTTACTAGTTTTTTTCGCTAAGCCTTATTATTATTATTATTATTATTATCTTTGGTTTAAATTCATGGAATGTCCTTATATCTACAGGATTCCGGAAAGTATATTTATTTTTAAATTTATAAACAAAAAACAACTATTTTTATGTTTTGTGGTATTGGGCTGTCAATAGGAAGTAAAAAAAATCTATAGTCTCCAATCATTTTAAAAAGACGATCTCCTATCAAGAAAGTGAAGTATTTTATTAAAAATATCTTAACACATAATCTCCTTCAGTCATAATATCTACTGTCATTATTAGTGGCCATTGAAAATGTTACCAACTCCTCTTGTGACGTCATGACGCCTTCAATAGTCAGTAATGCTTTTTTAATCCAGCTCTACATCTGTCTTCCTGATTGGGCAATCGATTGTCCAGGCTTGATACAAAATATCAATTGAGTTTTTTAAAAACAGATGATATAAAAAGACAGTTAGAGTATTAGAAAAATGCAGTTTAGTCGCTAGCATAAAAAATGTGCAATTTTCACATAGCGGCATAACAATTGTCTGGGCCCCCGCTGTATTATGTGTGCGGTAGTTGCAACTGTTTAAGTTTTTTGTTTAATTAAGCAAGCATAATTTTATTTTTCTGTATATTTTCATTTATTAAACTTAACCTTTTTTTCTTTATTTTGTAATTAATTTTTCTGCAGCTGCATTTCTCATTTTTGTATTACGTCACTTTTCTTTTTTATATTTGTTAAATTTTATTACTCATATCTTTTGCATTTTTTTGTTCCAAAATTAAAGTGTATATTTCCATTGTTCATGATGTATTTATTGAGTGAACCTACCAGAATCTCTTAAAAAATTATTTGAGTTTAATATTGATCACAGATAATCATTATTGTTCTCTATGTTTCCTGAAGTCCATTGAGACTAATGACAGTCCATGTAGGGCGAAGGGGTGACGGGATTATTCAAGAGGGGCTGAGTGGAGGAAGAGTCTGTTCCTATAAGTGTTTGAGCTTGGCGAGTATTTTTTTTAAAGTAATTAAAAGCGAGTAAATTTTTAAAAATAGAAAAATATAATATAAAATTAATGTCCGTACTAGTAGACCCGTGCTAAAAATTCGCACAGCATATTGTTATCAAATGCCAAATTAATAAGAAAATAAGAAAATTCAACTTATCAAAAGATTAAGACATCAAATGTTACTTTATTGATAAATATAATCCACAAAGGAAACAAAAATTAATTTTAATCTTCATTTTTGTTTGGAACAACATGTATACAAATTTCAGTAAGCTGTATATTTGCTAAAAATTGTCCGATCGTGATGATTTTTTTTTTCTTTTGTAGGGAATTTAGTAATCTTTTATATAATTATAGGCATAAGGCATAGGCATTATAGGCGTAAGTTTGTGTGGATGTGAACCCTATGCCTTGCGTTATCTCGAAAATAGTACGTTTTTCGGCTTAAAAACGCAAGATCCGATAGTTCCAAAGGAACTATTCGGGTCTTGCTGTACGCATCAAAATCTTTAAGATCCAATTTGTCCCGTATCGATCTACAGACCTACCACCGTTCCAGTATTGAAGCCTAGCAAAATGTTTGTATCGACTTTATTTATTTTAGAAAGAAAAACAAAAGTGGAGAATACGATTCGCTAACCCCCCGTGAAATTCTGAATCCAGCGGTACCCCATTCGTGGTATTTGAGCATGACAGGAGCTTATATTTGGTACAAAACCGATTTCGAGCCTTACTGTAATAATATATGTACAGATGGATTGATAAGTATGCTGTGTACGAAGCAACCCTATGTAGTAGGGCAGCATTACTTTTGATAAAGTATTTCTCTATGTTCCTATTTTAATTTTTGTCATTTTGCAGGGAAGGAGAAGATGGAATGTTGGATAAATATTTCTTATATGAGAAATATGCAACTATATACTATGCTTATCATTCGATTCAGAGATACTTAGTGAGTCTATTATCATAAAGAAATAGAAAATGATCATTAGATTCTCATATAAATTAGATTATTTATTGTCATTTTGTATTTTTTTCATAGGAGGAACCATTCACTGCTTATCAACCTGAATCTTTATTTAATATTGCACGTTTCTTGATGCAGGAAACCAAAACTCTTCTTCCACCAGGAGTGTCACAATTGTATCCTTTAATTATTTTTAAAAAATATATTTTTTTTTTTCTTAGATACCTTGCCATCTCAGATGAAAATATTAGTTCAAATCTTAAATGGTCATCTTTAATTTTAAAACAACATGGATTAGGATTGGTTCTTTGGGTGGTTTTTTTAAAATTCTATTATTCTTTTCTTAAATCGAAAATTTGAATTTAAATCTGTTATTATATGAACTTTTTTTATCTTCAACTGCCATATATCTTGGAGTACACTATCTCTCCAGCAGCCCTTGGACCTTTCTCTACTTCGCTTACCATCTGGTGTACTATCATAAAGCCTTTTTGCATCCTGTTTTCGTCCATTCTCATTAGAAGAACAAACTATTTCAATCTTTGGATTCTGATGCTTTCTGAGATATTCAGGTCATTGTATTTATTTTACAGATCCTTATTTTTTCTATACCACCAAACTCCATCTTTCAAAATTGGTCCCAGGATGTTCCATGGTATCCTTCTCTGAAACCGCTCCAATAGGTCACTGATCCTTTTATTAATAATCCAGATTTTGCTGGTGTAGATTACCACTGGTGTTATTAATGTTTTGTACATTTTGAACTTGATGGTATTACCGGTCAAACTACTCCTCAGTATCTTGGGCATGCCAAAATATGCTGTTTCTCAGCATGATCCTTTTCTTCACTTTTTCCTTTTCATCGAGCTGTTCATTAATTAGAGATCCCAGGTACTGAAAGTTGCTTCCTACTTTGAAACTGTACTTTCCCATGATGTAATTTATATGGGGTGGGCTTGTTTCTTTCTTCTGAGAACCATTATCTTAGTTTTCTCATTATTAATATCCAACCTTATTCTGCTTGCTTCAGTTTCAAGTCTTCCAACTGCATCCTTAATAGAATTCAGAGACCTCCCGACTATAGCCACATCAGCAAGCAAGAAGCTGTGTGGTTTTATTAATTATTGTCCCGTCCCTATCTAGCTCAGCTCTGCTTACAGTAACATGGAGACCTATGTTAAAGAGGAGGGGAGCCAGTAGATCTCCCTGCCTGAGCCCAATCCCATCATCGAAAGCGTCAGAGATACTTCCACCGCCCTTTACTTTGCCCTTCATATTTAGCATTGATCACCTTACCAGCCTAATTAATTTGGAAGGAATCCCTATCTTGGCCATTCTTTTGTATAGCTCATTCCGTATTACTGTATGCGTTCATATGCTGCCTTAAAATTGATGAATATCATTCAGATTGTTGGATTAAATTCTTTCATTTTCTCGCATGTTATTCTCAATGAGAAGTATCTTTGACGCTTTCGATGATGGGATCGGCTCAGGCAGGGAGATCTACTGGCTCCCCTCCTCTTTAACTTAGGTCTCCATGTTGCTATAAGCAGAGCTGAGCTAGATAGGGGCGGAACAATAATTAATAAAAGCACATAGCTTCTTGCTTGCTGATGTGGCTATTGTCGGGAAGTCTCTGAATTCTATTAAGGATGCAGTTGAGAGACTTAAAACTCTTTAATGCTTGATCAAAGCCACAATATTTAAGTTTTCAGTGTAACTTAATAATTTTATTTATTTGTATAATAATCCTAAAAACATGTTTGTTCCTTGATTTTTTAAATAGTGCAATACTTTATGCTATGTCTAAACAAGCAAGAAATCTTGGTGCTTATAAATTGGCACGCCAAGTTCTTTCAAAATTACAAACATTGAAGATTCCAGCTAAATTTCAGGTATAATATTTTATTTTAACATTTTGGTGTTTTAATTATTCAAGAGGCTAGTGGATAAATATGTTGTGTTACATTTTTGGAAAAATTGAATTATTGGTTTCTATAGAAGTTCAAAGTGGTTTATTTTCTCTTACAATTCTTTTAAGATATTTTATTTTATCATAAGTGAGTTGATAAAGATCCCAAGCACCTTCTAGCATTATAGTGGATAAAAGCTATGTTAATTAATTTTTCACAGAAATCGAATAACATTATTTTTCACCTTCATCCCCTCGACCATTCAATTATCTGATATTGTACCCATTTATATTTTTTTCTGTAGGAATATGTGGATATCACAAGTATCATGGTAAAAGGTAAGCAGTATCAAGACAACGAAGAATTGTTGATCATGTGCTATCGTTGCTCGACGTATAACCCTCTAATGACTCCTCCTGGTGCTAAAGCCAATGCTTGTACAAACTGTGGCCAATCATTTGTCCACTCATTTGTTACATTTGGTATGTTTATTAGTCTTTGAAATATATTCTGTTCAATTAATGTCCTGTATATTGTATTTTAAAAATACTCCCGATCTGTTTATCTGTCTATCCTTTGTTTATAATCTTTTAGAGGTACTGCCATTGGTTGAATTCCAACCTGAGAGTAGTATAAGTGAGCAAGAAGCTCTAAGACTCCTGGAGAGTGGTTCTGAAGAGGAGGAAGGCTGGCAACAAGAAATAGGCAATGACGTTCAAGCCTTACGCCCAGAATCAGAAATTGGACATGACCCATTCACTGCTAGGCTTCTACAGGTAAGGTTTAGGTATTTTTATTTGAGTATAATTTTTTTAAATTTCCTGACTAAGTGTAAACTTTTAGAATTATTTGTAAGTTTGAAAAAAAAGTTATAAAATCTGCAGATTCAAGGCAATGACATTGTTAAAAAAATTATTTCATTGTACTTGTGTGAAAGAAGAAGTGAATTATGAAAATATTGCATAGATGAGTAAAAATATGTTTATAACCTTTAATACACTTACTGTAGTTTAATATCTCAAGATCTGATAATATATTTAAATAATTTGAAAATAATTTCTGTTCAAAGTAGAGCGATAATTGGAATTTGTGTGATGTCCATGCCAGATTTTTGTGGCAGCTAAACTTTATTTAAACAACATATTTTTGAATTTCGGTCATATTCATCAATACGAAAACTCATTAAGACTGTCACAATAACATAAACTCTATTTACAATATCGATTGTAGCCTATACAAACCTTAGATGTAACTACATCAACGGTGAAGAAACTATACTGGCCTTACTTGGCAGAGGTTTATAGGTAAGTGAAAGTAAAAAAAACACCATAGACATTGTTCAAAGAAAAAAAATTGTTGGCAACTTTTAATTTGTTCTCATGAATAGTGTTTCTAATTTTTTTCCTATTCTTATGATAATTTTACTTGTCGCTCTCATTGAATGTAATTTAATATTTGTTCTATAGTCTTATTATCATCAATTTCTTGTAGACTTTTATTATCATATATCAAGGTTATCATTATCATCTTTTCAGGACCTTGCAGATGAAGTTGTAACAGTTAATAGATCTGCCCTTAAGACAATGGATCTGTCTGAAGTAGTTATATGTCGATTTCCTAAACCATTGAAAACACGTTATTATAGAAACCTCCTTCCTGAGCTGCAAGTAACTCCATGTTCACATTGTAACAAAGTAAGTTTTTGGTGAATTGCTGTTGATTGATATTTATGAATCGTTGTTCTTGTCATATTGTTAATTATTTTGATGTAATGTTTAAAAATAAAATAAATAAATTTTGACATAGTATTACTGTTGTAGTAGTTTCTCTAATGTCAAATTAAAAAAAAATGTATAATTTAATTTAATTGATTTTATGAAATGTTTTTCAATTATGAATTTATTTATAATTATTTTATTCAACAATTTATGGTTTCAGATTTTTCACATGGATGATTTTGAAATGAAGATTCTGGAAAAAGGTTGTTGTCCCTTTTGCCGTGTACCTCCAACAAGTGGAGAAGAAGAATTAGAAACCTCTTCTCTTTAATGACATGAATTGCAGTTACTGTGTTTTAGTTTTTCTTCATGAATTGAATTCATGGTTTATGCTTTTGTTAAGCTTTTATTGGCCTTGAGGTATTAATTTTTTCATGAAACCGAAACATTATTATTGCTATTAGAGATAGTTATTTCTTTTAGGTTCAGACAAAACATAATTTATTGTCATGTAAAGTTGCTGATTTTTTCAATATTATCAAATTTTAAATATTTTCTTATTACTCCTTGTTTGTGTGATTATGCCTATAATGATTTTTAAAGTTATGGAATATCCATATAGGCTCTATAAATCAAGAGGGATAAAATAATACAACTGCAAATAACTAAATTTGAAAATATTTATATCTGAATATAGAATAATAAGTATAATTCAATGTAATTATGATATGGATATTTCCCATCCTCAGTTACCAAATAAGGATTGTACTAATTAATAGAATATTGGATTAAAGTGACATTACTGTGGTCGTAAAATATGAGATTATAAAAAGTAAATAAATATTTACCCACTGATGCAAACATTGTGGTTGGGTATATTTGGTATACATGATAACTATGTATACATATAATTAGATATACTTGAAAAGTATAAGTATATTTATCTACTAATTATATTTCTATAAATGTTTTTCTAAAGCTCTAATGGATTAATTTGATAAAATATTGGATTATAAACCATTACCAAGATTGTTTCCATAATTTCGTTCTGAAGTTACAATAGTTTAACTATGGAAACAAGTTCATAGACTAACCCTTATGACTGAGTCAAATTGTTTCCAGTTAATATATTACCAAATTGGTCGAGATTCAATTCTGGCATATAGTGGCTAAATCAATAATAAATCTTTGTTTGTCACTTGTAGGCAGCTCATATTCCATATATAGTTTTGCCATATGAATTTTAAATTATTGTGCCATCAGTGTTTCAGTGTAGGCCATTTTTTTATTTTTAAACTTTAATTTAATCCTATGTTTTGATTTGTTTCTGAGCTAATGTAATTTATTTTGTGTTACATTGAATTTGTTTATTTACGCTAGTTTCATGTCATAAATTAGTTTCTGTTTTTTGTTAGCTTTAATTCTTCATATAAAAATAATTTTGAAGTAGATGTTCATTTAAGATCTTTGATGTATATTAGATTTTAGGAAATATTTTAACAGAAAAAAATGAATTTTGGGACATAATGACTTTACTAATTAAAAATACTTTAATTTTTATTTTTCACCTGTATGCTGATTCTTAAATGTTGGTGATTCTGCTTTATAACATTATTCGACTACTGTTGAGCAAAAACACGATACTTTGATATTTTCATATAAATTGTTTTAACTTTACAGATCTCATTATAGTTTCTATTAAGTTAGAAAATTGGTTGAAAATCTTTAAATTGTATTAAAAACAATATTTATTATAGTTTAAATAAGCATAGGTTAATATTATTTTTGCTGAACGTGACATTAGTTTTTTTTTTTTTTTTTTGTACTATAAGATTGTTCTTTTTGTTAAGTTTATAATTAAATCTTGTTGTTATTGATTGTAAATACTAATTTGTTATGATAAGAGCACATAGGAGTTTTTAATTATCAGTACAAAGATTTGCTTTAACATTTGATAATGATTCCGTCCTTCAGTCTTTCATTAGATATCTGTTAATGGAAAGTATTGTTTATTTAATAATTTTCTATATTATTTTATTCATGTATTAAATTTGTTCATCCAGTACATCTGATAGATATGATGATTTAAATAATCATTAAAATTTAATTATTTATTTGTATAAAATTGATTTAAATAAATTAGACTTTAATTTTATAGACTCAATAGTTATATTATTTTCCTAAAATAAAAAGAACAAATTTTTATCAATTTATCATTTATTTTATTTTGTTTTTTATATTAATGGAAATATAATTCTAGGTTGTTAAGCTTAAAGAGTATCAGTTGAAAAATGAGAATTTTTTTCTTTTTGATTGAAATGTGACTGGTCAAAATTATGTCTTTCATTTTTTATGACACTATAATTTAAAACAAAAAATATTTAAGAATTTCTCTTTTTTAAATTATTTTAATAGCAATTCAAATTTTAACAATAAAATAATTCATAAATAAAATATTCCAGAGATTCTAAAAAATAGCCATTTATAATTTATACTCTTTAAAGTTTAACTCCCTAGAATTATTCGGCATTATTCATTAATACCTGAACTTTTTTTCAGATTTTTTGGTTCAAATAATAATTGGTAAGGCTGTACTATTTTTAGATTGAGCTCCCATGAGTGTGTGCTGCTGTAGAGATGAGCAATGCTTAACCATTTGGTTTACCTCTTAACACAATGAAGGGGCAGGTACCAGGTAGTCACTTTTTAAGCATAGGAAAGTCTTCCATTCCCAGAGCCGATTTATTGATGAAATTACAGAAAATCAATTTTTTGCTCTAGCTTGAATTGAACTTTGGTCCAGTAGCTTGATGGAAATTTGTGAATTTTAAATTATTTTTATTATATTTTTTTATAACAGAAATATAAATGTTTATTAAAAAAAATTTAGGAAGATTTCTCAGTTGAGACTCAAACAAAAGCTACAAAATAGAACCATATAAAAACTATTATACAATTGAGCTACTATAATGCTATATAATTGAGGGACATTCTTTCGGAAGTCAATATTTCCACTTTTTGGAAATGTTTTAAAGGTAAGGTTCCTTGTATTTTGTTTGAGGAATCATTGGTTGTGGCACCATATATGGTTGACAGTCAGCATGTTAAGGTTAGTATGTAACTGGTACAGGTGGAAGAATCCATCCAGCAAGTGGGCTTAATTGTCTTTTTCGACAATGCCAGAAATAATAATACCAATGATAACCTATACTGCTTTCATCTTTGTCTTAACATTTTTGTTTTCTTATATAAAGTTCAAAATCAGTATGTTAAGTTATGTTTCTAACATAACAAGGTGCTTTTGTAATTGTCCTGAATGTTTTTTCCTGATATATTTGAAGTTTGTTTTGCTAATATAAGTTTTTAGTTGTCCTGTGCATCTGTGATGTTTAAGTCTAATTAGATTTTAGTGATTATATGTGTTCAATTTCAGCCTAAGCTTTAGTTTTGATTTTTTCAAAAGAAGTAAATGTGGACTCTTAGCTTTTTTCTCGATATACTATTGTTCGGTCAAATGTGAGACCAAAGTAGTGCACAGTCTCTGTCTATAGAACCTTTGTTTTTCCAAGTAGAATTTTTATTGAGAAGTTTGATTTTTAATACCTAATTGACAAGGGGAGAATTAAAGTTTTAAAATAAACTGAATAATTTTTAAATGTGAAATATTATTTTTCTTAAGAAATTTTCAGTTATGGAAAACAGGTGTATTAATTTTTGATAGAACAGTTCTTATTAATCTAGTACTAGAATCAATTAGTATTTAATTATTTATATTAGGAAAATTTGAAAATTAATTGAACTAATTTGAATATATTATTTTATTTCCTAGCGTGGATCTCATTACCGCGTAGGGGAGCGTTCCATAGGTGGGGATGTGGAGATGGTCCTTGGAAAATTCCTTGGAATTTGTGACATTGTTTAGGTTTAGATTCAGGTAGGTTCAAATAACCAAAATCTATAAGAACCAAATATTAATAATTATATTTTCTTCGTATATGAGAACATGTTACCAATGCTGAGAAAAAAAAAAATTATAAATCAAGTTGAACTTGTCTAATTCTTTACCAAATAAAAATATCTTTGAAAGACAAGGAAAGGTATAGTCATCCATTCAGTACTAGAGTGCTTATATGACTAGCTTAATTGGTGGGTTTCAAGGTACTAGCTTATCACATGTTCCTGTTTGGAGCCTTTAATTTTCCCACAGCACCGGACAGATGGACGAACTCAGGAGTGGAAACAGTAGTTACAAAGTTCCTACCGGTTAGATCCAATGGACTCGCGGACCAACAATGAAATGTGGCTTTTGCTGGAGGGTGTGATGCATGATTGAACGCCCTATCTATATCTTTAGTCCACCATTCACCTCAAATAGTCATGGTTCTGCCTGATGTAAAACAATCTAGGTACACAAGACCCACGTTCAGGTCTCCGAATGCGGACTGCTTTATTCATGGCGTAAGTTGAAAAATACGAATTTCGCTATTAATACGTGTAACGTAAGGAATTTGAATTCAGCAAGTGGGTTAAAATCGGTCGCGAACGAAGTTAATGGGCGCCACGGGCGGATCTACGGGGGGGGGGAGGGGGCTTTTGGGCTGAAGACCCCCCCAAAATGGTAAAACATAACCACGTTTTATGAGGGAAAAAAATTAAAAAATACCTCTTAAAGTATTATTGTTGGTTTAATTACATTTAAAAGGACTTAAAGAATCACTTAAGCACCATTTCTTATAGATAGTTAGTTTCTTTCTGTTTTTCCAAAGTAAATATCGTTATTTTTATGAAAAAAAAATCTTCCGGGCTGAAGCTCCCCCCAAAATTAAATCCTGGATCCGCTAGTGATGGGCGCAATTTGGATATTGTGGCTCTGCAAGAGGTTCGCTGGTTTGGGGAGGGTACGATAAGGGAAGGAATTTGGTTTAAAATGGCGCTAATAAACATACATTGTCCGACCGAAGACAGTGATGAGGAAGTCAAATGACAGTTTATCATAAATTCGAATGAGTTTATGGTATACAATCGTGAAACTGCATGAAAATAATTGTAAGTGACGCGAGCTCAAAGGTGGGAAGGGATGCGGCTGGTAAACTTTACCATATGAAAAAACCTAATAATTAAAAGTACTACGTTTAAACATAATGATATTCATAAATATATTTGGACATCACGGGATATGGGATAATACTAAAGGCGTAGCTAAAACCACACCTTCGATAAAATAATAATGAACCCTCATGCCTAAGAAATCCGAAAAATTAAAATAAATCGATACAAGACAACAGAATCATTAAATTGATATTTATTTTCAAAACTACACCTTCGAAAACA